ATGACTAAAGCGCTCATAGTAATAGCGTCGTATCGTGTCCAAAGCGCCCTGTTTTATAGCGCCCCGACCATGACTCTATGTTACATCTACAATTTTGTGCTGGTTAAAGTGCCCAACTTTGCGCCCAATGACTGAGTGATTGTGTGTAAGTTAGTAGCAATTTTATTTGAATGCCTCAAGCGCCCAATCTTGCGCCCTAGGTCCCAACAAAAAAAAATGCGAAGGCATAACCCGTGAAAGCGCCCAAATACGCGCCCTACAAGATGGGTACGACGACAAGGTAATACCTCTTAAAGCGCCCGATGATCACGCCCCTCAAAGCGCCCACAACTAGCTCCCATATACGCAGAATGCTAAACAACACCAATGCACAACAAGGATTCATAAAGGAAAGTCGAGAAATTGAAACTTCGAATTGTTCATAATTTTTTTTAAAAAAAAAGGTAAGTCACAAAGAGGCATCATTCGGCCTCGGAGGTAGCATCCTCGGTTTGGGGAGCCTGCCCTTCAGGAGGCGCCTGGTCTTTCGGTGAGAGAGGCGCATCTGCTGTTGGCGTCGTGGGTGCCCTCCCTTCCTCCTCCCCACCCATCATATCCTGAATCACAAACTCGGCCATCTCTGACACATCCCAGACTTGGTCTGGGTGATCTTGGTCGAGCTTCCACTTAAGGATGTTCAGACTAGTCAGGCAAGCGTTGGCAAACAAGTTCTTGCCAGCCTCCGACTCCTCGAATGTGTCGAGGGAAGTCTTCAGACCGGCAATCTCCTTGCGGGTCGCTTTCAGCGCCTTTTTCTGCTCCCTTTGGGCGTCCCGGAGCCTCTCCTTCTCCTCCTTGAGAATATCAATCTCAATGGCTTGGGTGCCCGCCTCTTTCTACAGCTTCTCCTTCTCTGCCTCGAGCTTTGCCACCCTTTCCAGTAGGCCATTTCGTTCCTCTTCAAACTCAGCCTCACACTTGCGGCGCTCCTCCTCTAGGGTGCCCTGCAGCCGCGACAACTCTAAGGCCGCCTTCATCTGGGCGTCCTCGCACTCCAAGTTTACCAGCTGCTCGCGGCGCCTGGACGTCGTCTCCAAGTCGTCCTTTAGAGCGGACGCCGACGTTGAGGCCGCTAGTGCCTCTTCATTGGACTCCCACAGGCGTCGGGCGCCCCTGTCCGCGAAAAGGAGGATCTGTGACAACAAAACCAAGGAGTAAAAAAAAAATTGCATGATAAACTTGGAGAAATAAACGGGACAACTGATAACACTTACCTTAGCGCCCACTTGGGCCAGCTCTGCAAACATGTGGTCGTCGTTGACCTCCGAGGGCACTTGCCACATCTTTGCCGCAGACATGGCGCATCCCCTGTCCACGGCAGACAACTGGGAGCAAGGCAGGGCGATGCGCCCTAACTCCGCGTGGAGCGGTTGAAAAACAGGCGGACACCCATCCTGTCCCACAAAACGACCCTCCTCGTCCAAGTGAACTTGGGCGCCTTCACGAGCGCCCGGGGTGAGAGTCGTTGCCTTCCCTTTGCCATTCTCACCTTCCCGGGCCTTCTTGCCACCGCGGGGCAAGGGAGATCCTGCTCTCTTCTCGCGACGAACGAGGGGAGGTGCCTCTTCCTCCGACTCTTCCTCGTGGGAAGAAGTATCGAAGGCCGACTCTTGGGAATCCGGTTCAGGGGCCGAAGACGCCACACTGCAGTTTTCGTTCGCATAGGCGCCTTCGTGGGGGTCGCCTTTTGTGGGAGCCTTCTTCCCAGTCTTTCCTTTTTTGGGGGCAGAAGGTGTGGGCGCCGAAGGCTGAGTAGCAGCGACGGGATTAGGCGCCCCACCCTCCATCATCACAAGCCTACTCTTTATTAACTTCCCGATGGAAGTGAAATCCGACCCTGCACACAAACGCAAGGATTAGCACAAGTAAAGCGGAATAAACACACGTAACCAGTAAAGGGCGCCCACACACCACCGTTAAAATATTCTTGCAACACCCTAATTCGATTCGCCGTGACGCGAAGATTCACGCGATGGGTACTAATAAGTTCGGCGCCTCTGGTCTCCTCTAAAGAGAGATAGACTTTAGTATTAAAGGCCTCAATCTGGCCCAGCGCCCAATGCCTCATGAAGGCGCCCCCACTCTCGAAGAAAGAGTCCTGATAGGCTTTCATGAAGAAAAATTCCTTGAACCAGCTACGCCCTAACTTTGGGCACCTAACCACGAAGTGGTAGGGAAGCTTGGAGCGCTTCTGCAGTGAGAGGCAGTTGTCCAACGGCACCACGTTGAAGAACCACCTGAACAAGTTGAAAGTGGGCCTCACGTTGTGCTCCCGGCACCGGAGCTTGAAAAATACCACCACCAGCATGACGGAAGGTGAAAGGCGCCCCAGCGCGAACTCACACATAGTCAGGATTCCCTCCAAGATCGGGTCTATTGGGAAGCGCAGCCCAAACCTGAATTATTCTTGATAGATGCCTATCCACTTAGGCCCACACACTACGACCTTAGAAATGGGTGAGGGGGGCGCGTACCACCAGTCTCGCGGAAGTTGGAGGCTGGTCACCAGTTCGTGCACCTGCGCCAGCGTCACGGTCGATTGGCGGTCTGGCCCAGCCACATCGAAAGGCAACCCGGCAGTCTCGGTGGGCAGATGATCCGGGGGAAATGCCTTCTCCTAAGTAGTGATCTTATATGAGCCATCAGCAAGCATGAAGCCCAGGGTGGAGGCGATTGCTGTTCCGGCAGAGTCAGGCGCCCTCTCTAAACCAAAAACCGAACCAGGCGTACAATCCCGAATCGGGGTAAGAGTCTAGCCGACGCCTAAGTGTATCAAAAAAACCAAAGAAACGAAGAAAAAGAGGGAGCCCAGAGAAAGACACTAAGAAGACCTAGAGGGCGCTTACCAGAGCGGGAAGGGCGGTTGGAAGTGGCGCCCGCACCAGAGTTGGAGGGGCGGACTGAGGAGGCGCCTGCGTCAGCCTCGGCAGGGCGAGTGGGGGAGGCGCCCGACCTAGAATCGGCAGAAGTAGCGGGAGAAGCGCCCGCACCGGATCCACCAGCGACATTGTCTCGGGGGGAGGCCATCTGGTCGAAGAATACGAGCAGTTTTAGAGAGAAGGTCGAGCAGTTCTAGAGAGAAGTCAGAGCGAAGTTAGAGAGAGAGGGAGTTGAAGAAAGTGATAGGAGGAAGGAGGCTAGGGGTATTTAAAGGGAGGAAAGGCGCGCATCGAGAGCTGCGCCTTCTGCCACGTGTCACGAAATCACGCGCGGGCCTTTGGGCTTCCCTCATTTTCGAATTTTGAATTTCAAATTTTTATTTAAAAAAAAAACTTTGAAGACTCAAATCCTGCCCGCGAGGGGGGGGGGGGCACCGAGGCGCCCAGAGCAGGCGTCTGTCCCATAGCGCAGGATGGGCGGTGCCTATTGAGAGGGGGCATGAATCCAAGAAAAATTGATCACTCGAGCGGGCACCCGCTGAGAATGAGTGGTGCATGCTAAGCGCCCAGGCCAAGAGATCAGTTAGGCCCTCAAGTAAGGGACTATGAGCGCCTAACTGGGGGGAAATTGGTGGGGGTACGTAGGTTGCCAATTGAGAGGGGGGCATTAATCCAAGAAAATCTGACCGGCGGAAGTGAAATCTTCGAGGGGAAGCATGATCAGGCGTCTGTCACACAGCGTAGGCGCCTCTCCGAGGGGAAGCATGAGCCTAAGAAAGTTTGCGGCTGGCGGGGCGTAGGGTGCCTATTGAGAGGGGGCATGAATCCAAGAGGATTTGGTCACACGAGCGGGCGCCCGAGCGCAGGATGAGCGGTGAATAATGACAAGGACTCGGGAGTCAGAAAGTTAAACGTAGGCGGATAATTGAGCGCCCGCCGAGAATGAGTGGTGCATGCTAAGCGCCCAGGCCAAGAGATCAGTTAGGCACTCAAGTAAGAGACTATGAGCGCTTAACTGGGGGGCAATTGTTGGGGGTATTACTAAAGGGGCCCAATAAGAGCCCATTCAGGTGAAGGTAGCCCAAGGCAATGAGCCAGGAGAAGAAGCCCGCAAACCCATTGCACACCAGGCAACATAGGCATGGAGACAAAGCACTAAGGCCCAAAGAGGTCCAGGCTGGCAAGTGATCCCCCGCCTGTGGGCGCCTGCCAGCCGTCAGAAGCCTGACAAGGTGGTTGAGGCTTCTGACAGAAGTGAAGCTACAAAGCATTTAATGTGACGGTAACGTGGAGGAGATCCACCTCGAGCTCGGTGAGTATAAATATGGGCAGTTGGTTGCATTTACACAGGGGGGACTCTCTCACTAAAACTCTTGCTCCGAAGCACTTCTCTCTCTAAGATACTGACTTGATCGTCGGAGGGCTAACGGGCCCAGGCGCCCCCCTCTGTGCTCGTGTGTGTAGGCAGGTGCCGGACAGAAAGGACGTGACGTGTCGGCGGGGCGTCAAGGCTCAAACAGGACACAACAATTAAATACTGTAATTTACAAAAAGGACACTCATAATTTACAGTTTAATGGGGCAATGACCATTGGCCAATGTCTTCTCATAACCGATAGTTTTTTTTTTTGTTAACAACTTATTGTAAAATAAACAAGAACAAAGGAAGAGGCCACTCAAGACTCAAGAGTCCAAGTCGTCCATCAAAAGATGGCCTAGGCCGTAGATGAATGGGAGCCTGATCAACCCAAAAAGAAGGGGGTCAAACATGAATTAATCATTTCATGTCACTAAAACTACTTATCAATAAGATATTTCTACTGTCAAATTTCTTAAACCAATTGTCTATGATTACCAACAGAAAAAACAACATTGGCACTAATTATTATTTTTGTTATTTCACCGATATAACATTATAACTAATTATTTTCCGAATGAAAGCCAAAACGGTAAGGCTGGAGGAGCGGGAATTTGGCAAAATATTGAATTTAGCGGGAAGGGACCCACCCGCCAATCCAAACAACATATCATTATTTAAATAAATATTAGTCGCCCCAGCTGGCGCGCTCCCCACACGGATAACGGTCATTTTTATTTTTTTACTGCCTTATTATCCTTCCTAGATGAAACAATTCTTAATTAATTAATTAAATAAATAAACAACAAAATCCTAACGACCTTTTTCTTGAAAAAAAAGTGGTTTCGACTCGACCGTTTTCTTTTCCGCCAGTCTGCCGCCCCGCCTTCACTCCAAACGTTCTCTCTGTTTCTCTCTGCAACAACCCATGGCCCAACAGGGAGAACCGAAGCAGAAACCTCTCTCTTCCTTTCTTTCTAGATAGGAGAATCGAGAAGGTAGGCGAGAGGAAAAAGGAAACGGATAATCATAATATCATCCCTCTCCTTTCCTCTTTCTCTTCATTCTTTCCTCGATTGAGCGAGAGAGAAAAGAAAGAAACAGAGTGTGGGGTTTTCCCCCTTTCAATCTCCAAAAATGGGTTGCTTCTCAGCGTGTTTTGGTTCCTCCAAAGATCGCAGAAGGAGGTGCAGGAAGCAGCATCACAAGAAGCACAACCAGGTTCAGCCTCGGTACCAGGTAAATATGAATATCGCGGATTTTGAATGGCATTACTTCTGGGTGTCTTTCTCTTTGTTCCTTGTTGGTTCTAGAGAAACCATACGAAATCTCAGAGAAGCAGGGGGGAAATGTAGGACCACGAATTCTAGGGTTTTCTTTTTGATTTGGGGGTGTTGCTCCTGCTGCTGCAGAGAAATTCTGATCAGGATCTTGTGCCATCAAGCCTACCCGTGGAGCAGAGCCAAACTTCAGAGGAACCAGTGATCATCAGCACAGTGGTAGAAGAAATCGAGTGAGTAAAGAGAAAAAAGTCTAAATCTTTATGAGCTTATCATTCGTGAATTAACTTCACTCATCGTCTCTTTTTATGGTTTTTTTTTTTTTTCCGGAGCAGGGAGGAAAAGCCAGAGGGGGAGTCGAGTCCGGTTTATCTTCGCAAAAGAGTGACATTTGATTCCAATGTGAAGGCATACGAGCCTGTTTCAGTTGAAGAATCCGCTGAATTTCAGAATGCTGCTACTCCCAAGCAACATATTGATAATGGAAAAGATGATGATCAAAACAAACACCCAAAGCAAGACCAATCCGATGATACTTCCTCTGAAGCAAGTTCTTTGACAACAAGCTCCAGCTCCTACCCTTCCATCCATCGGTACCAGAACTGCAGGGATAGCGATGACGACGAATTCGATTTCGAGGGCCAAACAGATTCTGATTCTGACAATGAGGATGAGGGTGATGGGGAACTCGACTATTCCGACGATGGCATTTACGATGAGTCGACCACTAGTTTTCCCTCTGCCACAACTAACACTGCCACATTTCCCTCTGCTGCTGCAGCCAACGACGATGGCTGCTTACCGAAGGTGGGAATGGAGAAGCAGGGGCAGAATGTGCGAGACAGGAGTGGGTATGTGCATCCAGTGCTGAACCCTGTAGAGAATCTTACTCAATGGAAGGCTGCCAAGTCCAAAAAGTCATCACCACCACCACAATTGAACCATCAGCCTTCTGATAAGGAGAATGATGACCAAGAACCCAGCTTCAAGGTGAAACCCAAGAAGACAGTGAACCAGGAACAAGTAATAGCAGTGGATGCCAGCTTATCCAATTGGCTGAGTTCATCTTCATCATCGTCATCATCAGACTGCTGCACGACAACACCAAAACCAAACGAACGGCCTACTACTACCTCTTCCACCACGCCACGGCCAGAGACGAGGAGCCCTGGCCATTGGACGGGATCGGCGTCCCCTAAGAGCTTTGAGGACAGGCCGATCCTCGGGGCGTTGACGGTGGAGGAGATCAGGCAGATGTCAGCATCGAATTCTCCAATTAGGAAGTCGCCTGGTCACAGCCCTGATGACAAGTTCATAATTGGGAGCGTTGGGAGCTACTGGAGGAGTGAGAGCGATAATAGCAAGTCTGGAAAGAAGAAGGATTTCAGCAGCTCTGCCTCGTCGTCGTTTAAAGGAATCCCCAACGAAACCAGCAAGTATAGAGAGGTAATGATGTGGTTGACATTGAACAATTGTGGGATTGGGGTTCCGATTGTAAGTAAATGCTGAATAGTTTTCCTTGTTTTTTCCCGTTATTTCCATGACGGGGTTTTGCAGGATAAGAGAGTGAATTGGCAGTCCACTCCGTTTGAGATCAGGCTGGAGAGTGCTTTGAATGGCGCCCAGGGTTAGAGGTGGACTGTGGTGGTTGTTAGTGAGAAAGTTAGCAGAGCAGCAGGAGAACAAGGGTGTTTGCATTGGGAATTTGTGCTATTCTTCTAATATTCATCGATCATCAACGCAACTTTTGAAAGTGTGTTTGTGATTTGTGAATGATGAATTTGTGATGGAATGTTTACACTTCGAGAACCATATTAGAGTATGATCCTACGGTTCAGTAGTTTCTTCTTTTCGGAGTGGACAACTTTCATATTGCTATTATTATTGAGCGTGTTCTTCCTAAATCCAGGTGTATGTTGGGCCTTATTTGAGTGGTTGGTGTCAGGAGTGTATTTGTGATTTGTAAATAATGAATTTGAGATGTAATTTTTACACTTCGAGAACCAAATTAAAGTGTAACCCTACGGTTCAATAGATTCTTCTTTTCAGAGTGGACAACTTTCACATTGGTATTATCGTTAGTGGTGACAATCGGTTTTTCAATTACCGATTTCACCGATAACCGTACCGATAACCGGTGGTTATCGGTATACCCGGCAGTGCCTCGAAGAATTTTGGTATACCGGCTCCTCTGCCGGTAAATACCGACGGTTTTCCGGTATACCGATACCGACTCCCTTCACCTCTCCGCGACGCCACCTCCACCTAGCACGGATTCGTGCACACCTCCATCGCTGATGTCTTGACATCCAAGGGATGCGCCGCCGTCGATTCGTCGTCGAAGAGCTGAAGTAGAGGTTCGATATTTCCAAATTTGAGCACGTGGACTGGAGAAGGACAACTCGAACCCAGATCGGACTACAGAGGAGGTTCCATGCTTTTGGATCTGTATTTGGTGGGAACAGCAGAAGCGAAGGGAGGGCTACGACTAGATGGCGGCGGGATGGTTGTCGCCTCGCTCATCGCCTCTTTCTCCTCGCCGTCGAAGATTTGGATCGAGAGAGGAGGCACCCGGATCTCTAGACACCCCTAAAAAATTTCTAATCCGGCGGCGGCAACGACTGGAGGCTGGAATTGTGGTGAGGGCAGAGTGCAAGCTTGTTCGATGCGGCGGCGACAATGGCGACAACATCGGTGGGCAACAATTAGTGTAGGGTTGGGGAGATGAGAGGAAATTGAGAAAGAGAGGAGGTCTGGGAAGGTTGGGGAGAGGTGAACGAGAGAGAGAGGAGGTCTGGGGAGGGTTCGGGAGAGAGATAGTCCGGTTGTCGAGAATGAGAAAGAGAGGAGGAGGTGTGTCTCGCGGTTAGTCGGTATAACCGATTTGTAACCGTTAACCGGGTGTTCGGTAATCGGTTAACCGGTTACAAACCGGTATCGATATTCGACTTCTCCCATGTCATGAACGGTATACCGTTAACCGGATCGGTCGGTAACCAGTTAACTAGTTACCGACCGATTACCACCCCTAATGATCGTTGACCGTGTTGTTCCTAGATTCAGGTGCATGTTAGGTCTTATTTGAGTGGTTGGGGTCAGGAGTGTGTTTGTGATTTTTAAATAATGAATTTGAGATGAAATGTTTACACTTCGAGAACCAGATTAGATTGTGACCCTGCGGTTCAATAGCTTATTCTTTTTGGAGAGGACAACTTTCACATTGGTATTATCGTTGAACGTGTTCTTCGGAATGGGTTACCCTGGTTACTTCTTTTTAAGTAATCACCATGACTTGGCCATACAGATCATGTGGATTCAATCTGAGGGTCCATCTTGTTGAAGGGTGTTTTCGGAAGGTAGGGGTGGGCAATGGGCGGGCTGGGTGGGTTTTGTCTCAAATTGACCCACCCGCTTACTAGCGAGTTGGAATAATTGTGACCCGCAATCCACCCACATACCTCTGCGGGTTGGGTTGGGTGGGTGACAGATGGGTGTGGTTGGGTCATGAGTCAACTCACAAAAGCAATTCTCCAACTAGCCATTAAGAAAGTTGACTAACATTTATAATAAGTTCATAGCAAATTAGTAAGACAGTATCAATAATCTGTGATTTGATACAATTAATAATTTATAGTTTGCATCCCAATATTTAATTGATATTAACAATAATTTGCATACCAATATCCAATATCTAATAGATATTGCACAACACAAAATCAATAATAGTAGTCAAAACTATTTTTTATTCTCCACCTTTTAAAGTATATAGTCATACGGTAGTGTAGTTCGAAAATATGATTAATATTCTATACTAAAAACAACATTTTTTCTTGTAAAAATAGGATGTGGGTCATACGGGTGACCCGCAATCCACCCACCACTCACCCACATAAGTGCGGGTGGAAGATTTATCAATCCGCAATCCACCCACACAAAAAAAATCCCATTTCATGCGAATCGGGTTATTTGCGGATGGATCGATATCAATATGCGGATTAACCACCCACATGCTCACCCCAATCAGAAGGCACCACATGATCATCCCTGCACTTGACGTCATTATTGGGGGCCGGAAATTAGTGGAATCTTTCATTTTCCCACGCTTCCCCTTTTTTATCGTTTTCCTTATCACCGTTGCTACCAAGAAGCCTTTTCCGTTTAGCAGAAGCTTTTTCACCGCCCCTTGCTATTCCTGTTGTTCTCTCCGGGCGCCAAAGTCATTTTATTTGGGCCGACGACTGGTTGTTTCTCAGTTGGTGGATCATCGAGGTTTTCAAAAGCTACCTTTCGTTTCCAGTTCCTCCCACTCCGACCAAACATGACGCACCGACGAGGTTGATTTCACCTCCTCTGGCATCTCCGTTTTGTTTCCCAGTGCAGTCACAGCAAGGGCAGCCAGATCTTGGCTCGACAGCTCATCTCAGTGGTGAGAACCTGGTCAAAGGTTGGTCCCCGCTAGAACCCTAATCGTCAAATTTAAACTAGGTGTAATAGCGTGCTTTATGGTATATGTTTTGTGGTATATGTTGGTCCCCGCTAGAACCCTAATCGTCCCCGTTGGAACCCTAATCAGTGGCGGAGCCACTTGGAGAGGAGGGGGTGCTTTGCACCCCCCTTGGGTTTGGAGAAATTTTTTTCGAGTAGGGGTATATACAAATTCGAACCAATGACCATTCTGTTGCAGGAAGAATTTCTTATCATTTCGATCGAGTGAGTTTTGTTATGTAATGCACTTTCGTCTTTATTTATAGTAATAAATTGTTGTCTTTTGTTTAAACTCGCTCATTTTTTTTTGTAGCTCTACAACAGAGAAATTTTTTGTCTTTTGTTTAAACAAAGTTGAAAGTGAAGAAGTACCAATCGAAGTTCACTTGTTTGTTTCACAAAATCAATTCCAAGGTATTTCTCAGTTCTAATTTGTAATATTTGATGAATGGAAGTCTTGATTTGTATGTACTGAACTTATTTGTTTGACGTTGTAACCGGTGTACGTGAAACTATTTTAATGTAATTGTGTGACTTTAGAGTATTGCGTTGTTGACTTTTTGTTTAATTTAAAGTTGACTTTTCTATTGTATAAGTGATTTTTTATGATATGATAAAGACACCCCCTTAGCCAATTTCCTGGCTCCGCCACTGACCCTAATTGTATATTTTTGGGGTTAGGTTTTGTGTGGAATGATATTAATTTTGCTTTTTGTTTCCGTGTGGGCGTGTTCATTGGTTTGTTGTGGATTTGTATATAATTGGAACGTGCAATGGTACTGGTCAAGATAGTCTGCAGTGGTATTTGATCTTGGCGGCGTTATACTTGTATGTTTTTGTTGTTTTGCGAAATTTTTATGCATTGGTAGTGATCTACCCATTCGGTTTGTTGGCTGCCGACATGTGATGTTTGGTGTGGAATGGTAGTGTTCATTTAAATTTGAGAAATTGTAGTGTTCCTTTTTTATGCATTGGTATTGGTTAGCTTTTTATGCATTGGTATTAGTTTACAATAGTAATGTATTTTTTGTTTCCATTTTCCGGTTTTAGGTAACCCCAATCGTGGAGGTTCAAAAAGCAAGAATCATGTGAACTATATCAGTCATCAGGTGCAAGTTGGAGGTGGTCAAACCTCTCCCGTCGCTCGAGCTATTGCGAAGGAGGTTTAGAGCAAATATAAATCAATTAGTAAGAAACGTAGCCCCGCATGGATACTATCAATGTCGAGGATGAGATATCGGAAACAAGGACAATAATATTAATTGTCGAGCCTGTTTTGATTCTTTGTTGCATCGTGCTCCAAAGTATAACTCTTTTGGTTCTTGAAGATATTTAGAGTTCAAAGTTTGTTCTCCAATACGTCTGACTGCAAACCCCCTCCGGCACGAAGTCCTCGTTGAACTTGATAATTGCTTCCCTATTGTCAAATCGCAAATGCTCCCATGTCGATTTGTCGTCTGGTACAACTTTATATACTTGATATGCAAATTGTAAAACAATAATGAATCATTACTATTGCAATAGTTGATACTATCACTAGCAAATCACTACCATTTGCCACTTCAAAAAAAAAAAAAAAATTGCACACAACAGAATAATTGCGGCAAAACAATACGAAACCAATACAATCCATTAACGCACATCATGGAAATCAATACCAATCCAACACACCACCACAATACGTCCACCAATAAGGTAACATCAAAACCATTTCATTAATGCTACTCGTAATACCAATACCAATCATACGAATACCAATACAATCATTATACCTTTGCATTTGTACCAATGCATTCAGTACATTGTACATACATATGACCACTACGAATGCAGATCTATTAAAGTAAGTAATAATACCAGTCCAGTCCAACGAATACCAAAATAATCACTACCATTGCAAGCGAACAACGTAAGTAACAATACGAATCCAAGCCACACCAACAACATGAACACACCTTCGCCAAAATTCTCCCCTGCGAGGCCTTCGATCACGTTCTGTTCCCCAACGATATTTGTCTCTTTGCAAGGGGTTGCGAACCCAAAGTTGTGTTAAATATTGATGTTTATGAGAAAGCACAATCATCTTACCACCATTGACTTGCATGGTTGTGTCCTCCTCCTCTCCACTCGATACAGGAGTTTCTCCGAACAACACCTCCATTGCTAGCCTTCTCTCCTCTACCACGTCCGGCGACGGTGCAGTGTCGACGATGGCCATTTCTCCCCTTGAGCGGCGACTTTTACACTATCGAATCCTTTCCTGCGTATCTTGGTCTAACAAAACCCTACAGTGATTAAACCTTCTTATAATTAGTTTCCATAATTATCTCTCCCTAATTATCTGCATAATTAAAATGGTAGTTTGAATTAAAATGAAAGCAAAATACCCTTCTTATTCCTAGTCACCACGGTGGTTACTAAGACTAGGTAATCACTGTAACCCCTCCTCGTGTTATTCCTAGATCCAGGCGCATGTTGGGCATTATTTGAGGGGAGTTACTATTCGTAGCCCTAACGTTTCAAATTTTATCGCCCTAAATTAATAAATGGACAAATTTACCCCTAACCACCATTGTATCGCCCTAAACCTCAAATGAAGATTGCCGCTGGTTTTTCAACAAAAAAAAACAATTGTTGTCGGTCATCCAAAACCAGATTTTGCTCCCGTCGCCGCTGCGAGCTTGATGGGAAGGACAAAGAAGAAGAAGTGCCAGTCGTCATCGTCATCACCAACCTCTAGCGCCTAATCGACGTCCGAAGAAGGAACCCCTCTTGTCGTCGACCATATCCGTCGGGATGAGGAAGAAAACGGGAGGATAAGATAGTTGCCGCCGACCTCGCCTCTGACGGGATTTCAACCCATCTGACGAGCAGGAGAGGTGGGCAGGCCGGCGGCTGGTGAGCAGAGATAAAGCTTTCCGGTCCTCTGCTTTCAATACAAATGCAGAGATCGATCTCACAAGGTTCCAGATTAGAAGGATGAAGAAGTGACCAACAGCCTGGATACTCTGGAAATGGCCTCTGCATTGACATAAGAGAAACAAGCTATCATCCAACTTAACATCTGATGATATCACAACTTACTGCAACTAAAAGGCAAACCAAACCATTTAAAGAACACCAAATCGGAATTAAGTCTATAAAGAAATAATTTTTCTTTCAATTATCCTGAACTAACTTCAGGAGCCGCAGTGAAATAATGTGCGCTTCAATTACTTAGCTCCGGGGCGGACGGCGTCGACAGGGCAGCGGAAAGCTCTGCTTTAGGGATTTAGGGCAGGTGAGGGTAAATTCGTCTGTTTTGTTAATTTAGGACGAAATTTTTAAAAAAATTAGGGCGTTAAATAGGAATCCAGTATTTAAGTGGTTGGGTTCAGGAGTGAGCAATTGAATCTTTTTTGTGTGACCTAGTTAATTGTAGAGTAATGTCTATTTTTTTATCAAAACCTTTTTCAGATTCATTTATATTATCCAAACCTACTAAAATGCTATTAATTAGTCACAGGTGCTCGAAAGATGCTGGCAAAGATTTCCTTACATGCACTAACGAGTTTAGTCACAGGTGAACAATGCGAGTTGGTCCAAGCCCGCTTATTAGTTCTCATTGACAGTGGATCAACCAAACAACTTCATCAATGATCAAGTCACGAAAAAATCTCGGACTCACGAGTCACTCCATCGACCCTTTTTATAGTAAAGGTAGCCAACTTTGTGCATATAAGGATTCCATTTTGAAGCTCCGGGCCTTTGTCGCTGGTCGAGCCAACTCATCATCCCTTTGCAATCGATGTTGCTGAAATTGATGTAGTATTGGGAAAATAGTGGTTAGCCACGTTAGGCAACATACTATGTAATTGGCATAATTTCACCATGGAGTTTGACTAGGCGGGACAACAAGGTACCCTTCGAGCCTTGTGTGTGCCATCTCCGCTAGATGCTCCTCTAAGGCAAGTACCATAAGAATTTCAAGACGTCCTTCGAGTTTGGTGATCTTTTTGATGATCCAATACCTTACCCCTATCCATTTCCATCAGATTATATTGAAGGAAGGGACAGATGTCGTTAACGTCCGCTCTTACCAGTACGCCCATTGCCGAAAGCGGCAGGGAATTGAAAAGAAAGTCAACACAATGCTTCGGGAGAATCTCATCCAGCCTAGCACCATCTCGTTTTTATCGTCTGTTCTTCTCATGAAAAAAAGGACGACTTGTCTTGAGATAGATTATATAAATGTACAATTCATTTGTTGTAAAAGATTTTTCAATTTACTTACATGTTTGTTAAAATCGATATAAACTGATTATAGCCCAATCAGATCATACCAATTGCTAAACCAACATAATGGAAAACAAAAATAAGAGGAAAAGAGCAGAAAAATGAAACGACGTCATTCGGCACGGGTATTCAGAAACTTCGGGAGCGGGAAAGTTGAACCGGCCCAGGGCACCGTCCTTGCAGAGCTAGTCCCCCGAACCGAACAGCGTCGCCTTCTCGTAGCTGGCCGCCGATTCACTTTCTGCTTCGCCGACCAGTTGGTTGAGGGTTTGATGCATTTTCACATTCCTTTTTCTTTGGAGTTAATCGAAGTGCGCTCAGCCATTTGTCATTCCTCCATCAAAATGACCATTTCCAGGAGGGATAGGATTTGGCGGGGTTCATTCGTGAAGTATTTGGTGCCTGGTTCCAATATTGTTACCACTCTTTCTCTCCGCGGTGCAAGCTCACACTCAGGTAGATCATTCAATCCATTACTCTTTCATTATCCTCAATCAACTCTCCGCTTCAATTTCTCTCAGTCGTTGCTGTGAGTTCTTGAGAAAAAAACTGTAAGGTTAGGTTTTGCATCTCGAGATAGCAATGTTAACCAAATCCGCCAATCTACACTGATGCGTACGTATTGTGGCTTTAGGTCTAGAAAGAAAGAAAGAGAATAGAGTTAGGGGTTAGGGATTTCACGAGGTAGGTGCACGTCTAGGGCCATTCAGGTGCATGATTCGGAGGATAGTTCGATGACTTAACATCAGAAGCTGCGATAATGCGAGTCAGTGACTGGGTGGCGAGAGAGGGAGGTGGCTTTCAAACTGATCAGTTCTCCAGCTACTTGATCTGTAGGCATTGCGTTTGGGCGCATAGCGCAACAGTCATTTGCTTGAAATCCTAGTCTACTGACTGACTGGAAGTTGGATCCAGAATGGTTGTGAGTGGCACATCGTTTATGGCCTTATTGGAGACATGATAATAATCTGTAGGGTTCTTCGCCACAGGTGTCTCTAGAAGAGCTAATTCAAAACCATTTACTGCATTTCTCTGTCACTATTTGCTGTAAAAACCAGTTTGACTATGCACTGATAGTAGATGAAAAGTCCAAACATATGAGATACAATTGATAAAGCGAATTTGGTGGCGGTGTTAGCTTGAAAGTGAAACACCATGTACATTTACAAAGTGAATTTTGACGGTGGTGTTAGTTTAAAAGTGAAACACCTTGTTGGTTCCTTGGTGGTGCCTTGGAAGGATGCTTGGATTATGGATAGATAGTTGTTGAGTATATTTGAAAATTTATACAAGGCTAAGTTAATGCTAGATGATTCTAAGTCAGATAGCCTGGGGTAGTCTCAGAAATTTTGCTCATCCAAACGCTTAAAAGTTTCACAAATTCATGTATGTGAAATTTGGAAGGACATTTGAACTAGTTGAATCCTAATGTGTTGACTATGTTCCAATACTTGCTCAAAATTTGTGTCAAAATTATCGGTTGAAAAATAACTTCCCTGAAAATGCGTTCTTTATCTACGAATTAGCTGTGAATCCTGCAGTAGTCCTAAAGTACTAACAAAAAAAGAAACAACCCGACTGACTTTGCGGGAAACAGAAAACAATAGCAATAATCGACTTTACTGTTTGATTTATTTCGAATCTGATGTTTACCTGCTGCAGGGTCTTCTCCTTGCATAAAAACCAAGATTGTCAATAAAGGTGATAATGAGAGCAAGCATTCCCTATTTGGTGTATCTTGCAGAAGATTTCAGATCGAGAGAAGCGATAAGGCAAAGTGTCTAAGTCAAAGCCTTCACGAGTGCAAGTGCTCCATCTGGCTTAAGTATATTGTGAGCCAAGTCCTGCATCAAATTTCCATTCATTTGCACGGTGTACAGGTAATGTTTTGAGTGTCCAAGAAGGCAAGGTTGAGAGCTTAAGGCTGTTATTATACTTTATCAATGCATTTGGTGCTTCTTTTTATGCAATGATGTTAGCAAGATGTGAAGACGTTTCAAACCTGAAGCAACGCCTGATGTTTTCTTGTTATGGTTGCAGTGCAGCAGCAGCTTGAGTTCGCGAAAAATGCTCTCATGAGGATCCGAGAAGCAACGCAACAGCGTGATTCCAGTGTTAGTTTTCTAATCTTGCCTATTACTTACAGATGACTCGATGCTTATCAGACCGGTCCGCAGCTTTCAATATTTAACGTGTTTTGCCCGTACTTGTAGTCACTGACAAAATCCAGATATTAGGCATTGGAGTATGTTCACTTATCTCGACTTAGTTGGTGATACCAAATGTTTGAGCAGCAACAGGTCGGTTTGAGTCAACATGAGCTCTTAGGTTAGTGTCAGGCATTCCTCACCTTTGGTCTCTAGTATGATAACTAGCTTCCACCCTGCCCTTTGGGCAGGAGGCATTTATATTTATATTTTATTATAGTATAATCTCATTTTATGTAATTTATGAATATATGTGATAGTATGGCAAATTCTAGCTAATGGCTGATGTAGGTTGTATGTGTGTTCATACCTATTAAGTATACTTTAATATGTTTCAACGAATCATAATGATCAATTATTATTTTTTGATTAATCAATATAATGGTTTGTGTTAGAGAATTAGGAATTGAGGTTTACTATTAGAGATTACAATAGAGTATTATGTTCCAAACTCTGGTTAATTTATGTTCTAAATATAAGAACTCAATGAGTGTTTAGTAAGGTTAGCGTATGCTTTATCTTATTATTATTTCAAAATAGTGAAAATGTTCCGATAATTTATTCAAATCAATTTTCACTATTTTAATATGATAATATATTAAAAAAATCAATGATTGAAAAATCGTACTACAGATTGTACCGAAAAATTATGTGGTAGAGTATTTTATGCTAAAACTGTGGTTCAACCGTTTTATAGCGCTAAAAACCACCCAGCGAATTAGCATCTTGTAGGAGATTTTTCTGGTCGACCCGCCAGTATGCTACGATTTTTTAATTCTAGTAAAAAACATGTATATATACATATAGTGTAAAAAAATTTATAATTAATTTATCTAACTCCCTTATTAAAAACATTTATAATTATCCATACATTTTGACAACAAAATTTTATTTCAATATTTTATAGATGTATTTAAATATCGGTCATCCCTTATACCATATCATAAAAGAAAAGGAGTTTGGAAATGGTTCTAATTTGTATATGCTCGGGACAACAACAAGTTAGTAACCCATTACAAAGGGGAAGGAAAAATAAAAATAAAACACTTATTTAAAATTTGAAGTGGGCGACGTAAGTGGTATGAGAAAGAAAGAAGGGAAAAAAAAACGAAAGGTAATTCCGAAACACGCGGGGAAGCCTGGACGGCTGATGTGGCATGGGTCGGTTTTACAAACCCTTTTAATATATGGTAAGAAGATTTAGTTACTCAACAGACATAATGGCGTTTAGACCTGGATGGAGGCCTTATTCTGGTAGTCTGGGATAAAGAATCCTAAGAAAGGAATTTAAGAAGGAACATGCGAGTTCATGAAAACAATAGATAGCGTAGTGCAGAGTGGACCTTTCTGTAATGTCTCCTGTTTTGTCCTCAGAAATTCTATGGTGGTTACTAGTCTGTTTCACCTTTGACGCAGAACGATCGTTTATGTACCAAGATTAGAGATTAGAAGGGGACTAGAAGAGGATTGATAGAAACTAGGGGAGATTAGGGTCTTGTGATTAAGATAAATCTCTTGAGGATCAAGCTAGATTATATGAGGTTTTTTCTGCATTGTTTATCTAGTCATTGCCCGTTAAACCACACCATCCCGAGTTAGCCATTTGTTATAGTTGAAAACACAACCTCTGCTCTGTTTTACGCACAAGGGACATGGATGGCTTATTTAATTTGTTTTACATTTGTTGTATAGAGATAGTGATGAACGTGTTTTTAACTTCCATCATAATCACAAGCAAGTGGAGAATTGGTGATGCATTTTAAAAAGAATACTTTCATATGGCTAATGAAAAAAATTTAAATTCCCTTGCCAGTATATGGACCAGTAAAAGCCACCAGAGTGTTGTTTAACAGTATATATCTCTTATAGTGATTGGGACTGATCATTTGTGATGGAACGACTTTATTTTATGGTGCTTTTGGTATGCAAAAGGGTGGGTTCTGGGTAGGCCTCTATTTGCCTTAGTGGATTGTTGCTGGTCGACAAGCTCATTGATTGGGATCTCCATATCTGAAGTTTGGCGCCTGCATTGAACTCCAGGAAAATGTGTCTAAAACACTATAAATAATACTGCAGATCAGATGCAACTAGTCTAGTGAGATTAATGACAAAATGTTTAATAACCGAATCGTAATATAAATCGTGATAATATTATATTGGCTAGCTCCGAAACAACCAGTCAGTTTGGTTTGGTTTGGTTTGGTTTCAGAAATAGTGAAATGAAAATGCCACAATATGCATATTTGATATATTATCATTTATCTTTTTTTCCTAATTAGCTACCGTTTCTTGTAAAAAAATTTCTTGTGCATTTTGACCACTCTCTCCACTATGCGAGAGAGAAGAATAGCCCAGGCTTGAGGTATATTATTAAATTTAACCACTTGGGTTATTTTATTGTATTAGGCCTCAAGTGACTGCAATATTTGAGGCAGTAGGATTTTTCCTGTCCACATTTGATGGTTGGCAAACAGATTGTCTGTTCCCCCTCGTTATTATTTGTCCATTTCCTTCTGCAACGTGGGGGGTCATGAACACTTCTTTGAATCCTTTTTGTTTCTTCCCCTCGGAAAAAGTCAATTTCTGATGAGTGAATTTTGTTTTGCCAGTGACAGACTTATACCTGAAATATACTAGAAAAATTTTCCTAGAAATTATTAAGATTTTCGTTGGAATTTAGACTTCCTTTTTTACTTAAAATTATACGGGTTGACATTTAGGCGTAGAATCTAAAAGCAAGTTGAGGAGAAAAACACATTAGAAGAAATAATTTACAATAGTTGAGAAACGCCATTTCATGTGGGTCTGTCGAACTATTATTGTCATAAGAATTTTATTAAAATAGACAACAAATGGAAAACACCCTTCATCCTAGCCCATAGAATGAAAGAAAATGTGTATAGGTTCCCCGGTCAACCATTGTGATGTATTAAAAGTTTAAAACTCATAGTTGCATTACTTCAATGGATACGTATTGGCTTCCTTAGAGATTCCCTCTATTTTTCTGCCTGTCTCAGTCGCTTTTTGGAGTCCTTTCCCTTTCATGGCATCTAAGTAGCTAGTTAGGCTTCTGTGCTCTCCAAAATAGTGCGACAAAACAAAGTCATCCTTGCAATCTTGTTGGTGATGGATAGTGCATTGGGCTCTCAATGATGAATGATCCCAGATTTGACTTCATTCCCCCATCTATCCCCAGTTATATAAAGGGCCATGACAAGTCATGTACGACTCCTCTAGTACACCTAAGAATGCCACAATGACCAGCCAACATCTTCTTTCCCTTCTTTTCTTCCATGCCCTTTTCCTTTCTTGTCTTCCTCTAAGCCTCACAGCATCTCCAAGAACACAAGCCCAAGCTCTCATCAGATGGAGAAATTCCTTCACTTATTCACCTCCTCTCAGTTCCTGGTCTCTCTCCAACCTCAACGACCTCTGCAGCTGGAGTGGCATCTCCTGCGGTCGCTCCACCGGGGCCGTTTCTGGTATCAATCTTTCCAACTTGAACATAACTGGAGATCTTTCTCAGTTTGACTTCGGTCCATTTGCCAATGTCACCAGCTTTGAAGTTCAGAATAACTACATTGGTGGGACAATACCTTCCAACATTGGTAGCCTTACCAAGCTAACTCACTTGGACTTGAGTCTCAACTCCTTTGTTGGGGACATACCTGTGGAGATTGGGCTGCTAACGGAGCTACGTTTCGTTAGCGTTTTTAACAACAATCTCAACGGTACGGTCCCTTATCAGGTCTGCAATCTTCAAAAGCTGCAGCACCTTGACCTTGGAGCCAACTACTTGGAGACTCCTGACTGGTCCAAATTTTCGGGTATGCCTTCGTTGACACACCTGAGCTTTTTCCTCAATGAATTTGCTCTGGGATTCCCTGATTTTGTATCTGATTGCCGGAACTTGAGGTTTCTGGACTTGTCATGGAATCAGTTCACAGGCCAGATACCAGAGTGGGTCTATACCAATCTGGGAAATATTGAGTCTTTGAATCTCACCGCGAATTCATTCCAAGGACCATTGTCAACTAGCGTTTCGAAGCTTGCCAAGCTTAGAAACCTTCATCTTGCTAACAACGATTTGATTGGCCAAATTCCTGCAAGTATTGGTTTGATTTCTAGCCTTCGGATACTTGAGTTGTCTAACAATTCGTTCCAAGGAAACATTCCTTCTTCCTTGGGCCGGCTCAAGAATCTGGTAAGACTTGATCTCACAATGAATTACTTGAACTCAACCTTACCTTCTGAGATTGGCCTCTGCACAAGGCTGACCTACTTGGCCTTAGCTCTGAATCAACTCAGCGGAGAACTGCCCTTGTCCTTGTCAAATCTGAATGACATTGTCGAGCTTGGTTTGTCTGATAACCTTTTCTCTGGAGTGATCTCAGCTGGCCTGTTTGTTAATTGGAAACACTTGGGATCTCTGCAACTTCAAAACAACTTATTGTCAGGGAACATTCCACCGGAAATAGGGAAACTGACTAATCTCAGTATTCTTTTCCTGTACAACAATACACTCTCTGGTCCAATCCCCTCAGAGATTGGATACCTGGAAAGTTTGTCTCTTCTTGACCTTTCAGGAAACCAACTCTCAGGTCCAATTCCTCCACCAATCTGTAATCTGACGAGCCTCGACACCCTGAATCTCTTCTCCAACAATCTCAGTGGCACCATTCCACCAGAGGTTGGAAACATGAGATCACTGAGAGTCCTTGACCTCAACACCAATCAATTGTCTGGGGAGTTGCCAGACACCATTTCTGGCCTCCGCTCTCTGGTGTCAATCAGCCTGTTCACCAACCATTTCGTAGGCACCATTCCTAGAGACCTTGGGAAGAACTCGCCTTCTCTGCAACGTGCTAGCTTTTCCAACAACAGCTTCAGTGGAGAGTTGCCACCTGAGCTATGTAGTGGTTCAGCCCTGCAGCAGCTGACTGTCAATGATAACAACATCACAGGGTCACTGCCTTCTTGTTTGAAGAATTGCTCGGAGCTAGTTAGAATCCGGGTGGATGGGAACCACTTCACTGGTGACATCACCAATGCGTTTGGAGTCCATCCAAATCTTGTTTTCGTTTCTCTTGCAGAGAATCATTTTGTGGGGAAGATTTCTGGGATGTGGGGAGAATGCCAGAATCTCACCAACTTGCAGATCGATGGGAACAAGATTACTGGTGACATTCCTGCTGAACTTGGAAAGTTGACTAATTTGCGGGTGCTAGCTCTGGGATTCAATGACTTGACAGGGAAAATCCCTTCCGAGTTGGGAAACCTGAGCTTGTTATACAGGCTTAGCCTGAGCAACAATGACTTAACAGGCGAGATTCCTCCTAGCCTGGGGGACTTGTCAAAGCTTGAATCTCTTGATTTGTCTGATAATAACCTGATTGGAGTCATTCCAGAGCTGCTTGGCAACTGTGAGAAGCTCTCGAGCTTGGACTTGAGCCACAACAATCTATCAGGTGAAATCCCATCGCAGCTGGGCAACCTGATTGCATTGCAGTACCTGTTGGATCTCAGCAGCAACTCATTTTCTGGTGAAATACCTCAGAATCTGGGGAAGCTGACAGCGCTGGAGAGTCTCAACTTGTCTCGTAACGATTTCATGGGGAAGATTCCGACTGCCATATCGTCCGGCTTGCTGAGTCTGCGTTCCATTGATTTCTCATACAACAACCTGACTGGGCCCGTCCCGACCGGTAACAGCTTGTTCCACAATGCATCTTCAGAAGCTTTTGCTGGAAACCCAGGCTTGTGCGGAAGCAATATTGCAGGTTTATCTCCATGCGGCCCTTCGGGGGCCGTTCGACCCTCCTCCCGGTTTAACAAGAAGGTTCTCTTTGGTGTCATTGTTCCAGTTCTGGGGCTAGTGGGGTTAGCAGCTACTTTATTAACTGTCATGGCATGTCGCCGCCGGCAAGACCATCTTGCTGATGAAGAGGCTAAAAAAAGCATGAACAAGTACGAGGCTTCCACCTCAGTGATATGGGACAGGGACGGAAAATTCACGTTTGGGGATGTCTCCAAGGCCACTAATAACTTCAACGACAAGTTCTGCATCGGGAAGGGAGGGTTCGGCAGTGTTTACAGAGCAGAGTTGGGAACAGGACAAGTTGTGGCAGTGAAGAAACTGAATGCTCCCAGTTGTTCCTCCGACGGAGAAGTCTCTGCAGTCAACCGACAGAGTTTCGAGAACGAGATCAGGATGTTGACGGAAGTGAGGCACAGGAACATCATCAAGCTGTATGGGTTCTGTTCCAGAGGAGGGTGCTTGTACTTGGTCTATGAGTTCATTGAGAGGGGGAGCCTGGGGAAAGTGTTGTATGGTGTAGAAGGGGAAGCAGAGCTCGGCTGGGGTACGAGGATCAAGATCGTACGAGGCCTGGCTCATGCGATCGCCTACCTCCACCATGATTGCACCCCTCCAATCGTGCATCGAGACATATCCGTGAACAATGTTCTGGTGGAGTCAGACTTCGAGCCTCGACTTGCTGATTTCGGCACAGCTCGACTGCTCGCCACAGATTCCTCCAATTGGACATCCGTTGCCGGTTCTTATGGCTACATGGCTCCAGGTAAATCTCAGAACCAATTGATCAAATCTCATATTTGCCAAACTTCATTTTTGAACGCCTCATAGAACCATGATATGGTTACCATTTACTTGCTACTGCAACTCCAAATGACCGTTCCATCATGAACATTGTAGAGCTGGCAGTAACAATGCGGGTGACAGACAAATGTGATGTGTACGGCTTCGGAGTGGTCACACTGGAAATCATGATGGGAAAGCACCCCGGAGAGTTTCTGTTGTCACTGTCGTCGTCTCCAGCAGATGATCCTGAGATATGCATGAATGAAATTCTGGACCCGAGGCTTCCTCTTCCGACGGGTCAGCTAGCGGAGGAGGTGGTTTTCGTACTCACAGCTGCATTGGCCTGCACCCGGACGAAGCCTGAGTCACGACCCACCATGCGGTTCGTGGCTCAGGAAATCTCGGCGCAAACCCAGCCATGCGTGGCGGAGTCACTGGACAAAGGGAAGATTACGGTTAACAAGCTCGCTGGGCTCGACAAGGACAGGCGTCCTGGAGAGAGCTTTTCGATGTAGCCGGCTGAGGTCGTCGCGTCGTGGCTGCTTGAGTAATGTATAGTTTACATCTTTCTTGGTCAGGATTAGCAACTTATGTAACATAGATATGTATACGTGACATTATGTCTACTTGATAATTTTGGGCTTGGCTTGTATTTTATACCCGTGATGTCTGCTTCCACTCTCATTAGTTAACAAAATGGGTGTTTAAAGAGGACTTGTGTTCGTTTGTTTTTGCCTTTAGATAGCGAGATAGATCTTGTTCAAACCAACTAGTAACTTGCTTAATGAGGTTCGCGGCTCGAACTCACCACCCTCTCCGGTTTTCGTCTCGTCAGTTCGCATTGTCATCAATTGTAATCGTATAATCGGTTTATTTTGTCGATTAACTAGCTAACCGTTGTTGAACAAGTGATTCGATTATTTTGTATGTATATTACACTTACTAAGTTACTTTGTTGATTGTCTCTGTCATACAAAAGTATTAAAATAGGAATGAAACTTTACTGCCTTTAGAGTAATCAAACCTTAAATTTCAAATTTGTAACATATATATTATTTTCAGGACATTGAGAGAAGTGGTGATGGTGAAATTGATAATATCCCCTAGTACGTAATTCGCTTCTCATTCCAATCCCTTCTTTTTTTACTTTACTATGTTTTGTTTACTAGCTTATAACCCGGCCCGTTGGCCGGATTGATAATTTGCATTAATGATTTAAAGGAGCTACCAATTAGTATGAGAACAGAAGCGTGATTTGGTATAGGACTCAAAGGGGTCGTTCGGAGAGCAGGATTTAGGACATAGATTCGCTGAATTCGTAGATTTTGTAGAAAGTTATGTTTTTTGTTGTTTTCTGTATTATGGATTCTAGCTTTAGAGATTTCAAATCTCTAAAATCTGTGGATATCAAATCTCTCATAATCATAGAGATTCTATATCTTGATTCGTGAGATTTTTTTTTCTCTCCTAGTTTTTCTCTTACTTCTATTTATTTATCACATGAAATATATCTATCAACAAAGTTTTTAATATTTCTTGAACCACTCTAATTTTTTTTATTAAGGATACAAATTTTATTTAATATAAAATTAATTTTTTATTTATTTTAATTGAATGTTAACAATCACAGTTACCAAACAATAAACATTTTAAAGTATGTTTTCAACAATCTGGAGAGTTAGAATCTTTAAATTGTTGACAATACGTAGATTTAAACTCATATTCTCCAAACGACCCCAAAAAGGCATTGTTATAGAATCGAACTGGATGAACGCCTGAGCTAGTAGAATCATCAAACCACTTATGATAGTGGTTCGGTTCATTTCTTGGACGGTTAATGATGGACCAAACGGTTTTTAACGGTTCAACATAAAACCATATGAACTATCACGGTTTAACTGGTCCAGTGGGTCATTATTTTAACTACACTCTTTTTTATAAAAAAAGATATACTTAGACCATCAAACCAGAATTATTAATTTTATTTCTACTCCCTCTTCTTATTTTCAATCCTCGTTGTCGACTTTATGTGGTCTACTACCGACTGGCACGATAATTTGTAACTTGAATTAAACATTATGGTTTATTTTGTGGAACGATTTGAATGATTTGTTAGATATTTTGATGATGATATGAATTTGAAACTGTTTATGGTCAATGATAGTTTCATTCTTAAAAAAGTGTATTATAAAAATGTTGTCTTTTATATATCATGAACGTAACTATCAACAGTTAATCTATAATTTTATAACGGTTAATCATTTAACCCTAAAATACTAACTTTTTCGGTTCAGCGTCCGATCTGGTTGAATGAGTAATTTGAGACTCACCCTTATAATTTAGTGCCTCTTAAATTACAATTACCACTTTAGGGGGTTCGCCAAGGATGTTATCCTTATCACTCTCTATCCATTTCAAATTAAATAGATACATAAATAGTATTTTTATATTATGTTTTAATTTAAGATTTGTACTATTTTGCAATCTACCAAGTCTCGCATGTTAGCCATAGTATTTTGTTGTAGATCCATTTCATATCTAATATCTTAGCTATATACTATACACGCAATATTTTCAATTTCCATATCTTCACTCATATCATAATGTTGTTTGATTATAAATTCCTACCCCCACCCAAAAGTAATACGAAGGAGTGTGCAACGGGCTGGTAAAGTCCGTACCAAATTTTGGAGAACCGCAGTGTAACAGTAAAATACATCTTAGAACTATGAATCATATCAACAATGCATTCTATCCATTTTGGTCCAATTTGATCTATCCAAATATCAATTAGGTCTATTTTCTTTAATAGTTACAAAATTAATGAAACCAAAGATCGGACCATATTATATTCGATTCAGTGTGGTTAGGTCTGAGTGTTGATTTATTTCAGTGCGATCTGGTACGGACTAACCCTAGTTGCACACCCTTAATGTCAATGAGCGTTCACACTCCATGAGCAATGAAATTATTTTTATTAACAATCTTGCATATGATTGTATCTAGCTGTTGTATTTCTAAATGAAATCCTGATCCCTTTCTCATACTAACTCAAATCTCATTAATTAAATCATAAAAGATACATGATATACAAACTCATTAGGGTAAAGATGCCTTAAATTGATAAAAAAAAAAATTTGGTAGACATTGACAAAATATTTAATACCATGATCTTTGTCTACTACCATCAAAACTACTTATCCAAGGAAAATATTGTTCTTAACTTCTTATAATGCCTATGCAACCAAATTAACACTTGCAAACCTTGAAACCATAGCCGTCCATTGGGGCGGGGGAATGATAGCATAAACTACTCATAATTATCATCCCCAAACAAAGAGTCCTGACCCATGGATTGGATCAATAAATGTGGATTCACTAAGTCCATACTTTAACTCCTTTCACTAATCATTCAACCAAATTTCTTCAGAGGTTCATATATTCACGTATACCTACACTAAAACTGAAATATACCATTTAGTCAAATATATCACAAGAGCAGGATATACAGCAATCGGCTTTGCAAATAGGGATATTGGATCAACTTTAGCATATTTGAACTCTTCCTTGCTGAACTCTGGTGTTGTTTCCACACAGTAATGCCAAATGCAAAAGTGTAAACTTTCCAGGTTTCGCATTATCAACAAACCTAGCAATAAACATAGAAACTGTGAGTTCAAAGAAAGACAAAGTTGAATGATCCACAAACCTCCAGATTGAAGCAATGCAGATCTACTACTCACGTATATCATACAATCTTTGGCTCGATCCTTAAAAGTTAGAACTCACCAAAGTCGACCTTCATATGAAAAGTGCTGACTCGTTTTCCAACTCACAAGGACAAACGAAGATGTCTTGAACATCAAGCAAAAAGAAACTACAGAGGCAAAAGAGACACTACCCAGAACGATTAGGATGTTTGGCCAAATATGCAGTTCTAGTGGCAGCCTCGTCTTGCTTAGAGACTCGAAGATTAATTAAAAGAGATCTCTTCACATTATGGTGTGAATCAACCTTACAATGTTGCTCTCAAAGCAAGAAGATGAGAGAAGTAACATACAGAGATAGTACCTCCATGCACGATAGTCATTAAATCAATCATGTCCTGAGGATCTCTAGCAAAAAGGAAGGAGCACTTTGGATTAGCTGATAGGTCATGTGTACACCGAAGCAGCTTGAGAAAAGAAATTTTTAGTATGAACAATAACAACTACCAATTCACTTCCCCATAGAATTGTTCCAGGACTACCAAAAATCTTCCAGCAAGACTTCCTAACCCCAAAAAAGAGCATATCTTTAATCTTTATCCCTTCTGAGTGATCTAACAAATGGAAGAGCCAGATTTCATTGAGAAAGTAACAAACCGAACCTTGGAATGAACTGATAAAGAAATCACTGCCAATATTATAGACCCATATGCATAAATGCAAAATCAACCATAGACCTAGATGGATAATCCCATATTTCTGAAACATCATAGTTACAAAGATCACTCGGTTGGTGAGAAGATAGGCATAAATATCCTACAAATGAGTAACATAACAGAGCGAGAAGCTGGGTCATCAATTGTGACTATCCAGAATCCACTGGCTGAAAACACTGTAAGCAGCAAACCTGAGAGAAAGTTGATACATGCCTCGCAGACCATGATTAAGGACCATCCGGACTTCCTTTGCGGCGTGAAGTCGAGCATCATTCTTCGACATATCGACTTCATAGCAGTAACTTGTTAGGCATAATTTGGGATGACTGCAGTCAAAGTTTGTGCATAACGTCTCCAGTTGATGGATGAAGTTAGGAAGAAAACTGACCTGTCTCTTATCTCACTATGCAACCTATAACAGAAAATGAATAGTGAAAGGGCAAAAGACCACATTAAGTTCTTCCATATATGTTCACAGTTCTGTGATGGCAAAGTTAGCCAGAAGCATCAATAATGATTTTGTTTGAAGAAAACAAAACCCTAATTATCTGATTGATGGAGCTAACCCTGTGAATCATCATGAAGAAAAATTTGTCAAAACAAACACAATTATTTAATTCAACATGAAAGAGCAAGCCAGTCATCATGTATATGAATTTATGGAAAGTAAATTTGTGCAACAAAGACATAATTATTTGAATCATGGAGATAATTGAGCTATAGGGTGAAGGATGATTCATCACCTCTATCCTCTTTAAAATAGTATACATAGGACCAAGCCACACCCACCTACCTTATTGGACTTAGAAAGTTGTCTATATCAAAATAGGAGGGGTGAGCTGCAGATCGTACAGGTTGCAGAACCTTGCTGCTATATGCATCTACAAATTGAAGGTGAGCTAATACTAACATCAAACCAAAGAGTGTGTTCGGAGGAGTGTGAACGCAATACATTGTGCCACCAAAACTTACACTGCAGAATGTTGAAAAAGGTAGCCGGAGAGTCCATCTACCGACTACAAAGTAAGGAAGCAGCAAGCTTGGTGATTCCCTTTCACAAAGTAATATAGCAGACGTATCACAATTAAATTGGTAGGTTATCTTCAACCTGTATCAATATAGTTGAATGTAAGAGGTCAAAGGTAGCCACCCAAGTTCAAATTAAATTGAGCAAACAAAACAGATGTCACCAACATGAAACCTCCATACATGCATATGCTACACAAAAGTGGAACAACCAACATACATATTTATGCAACTAATAACCTACCAATTCTTTGATCAATACATCCCATAAATCTACAACCAAAGCCAAATGGAATGGTTGGAAAACTGATGCATGATTACACCGGCAAGTTCATATGAAATAAAGCACTCTACTTTAGTCCTCATAAAGCACTAAACAAATTGAGTTGAACATTATGAGAATGGATGCGAAACAACTCAATTATCTTAATCATAACTTTCTGAATCCGTATGGTTCTTCCTCTTCAGACCCTTAATTGAAGGTATGGCATAAAACAAAATCTCACCACTTGAACCAAACTATCCTTGGATAGAAGTAAATCAAATCGATAAGGGTTCCAGCAAGGATAAGGGTTTCAGGGAACTCAAGATTCCAATAGATAAAAGAAGACCCTAATTTTCAATTGATTCTAATAGCAAGATGAAGGAAGGACGATAAGCAAAGATGATCCACCGATTTGAAGTGCGACCTCGAATAGAACTGGGAATCGATGTGGGTGAAGATACCAAACGACAGTATCACTAAACCGTAGGGAGAATGGACGAACGACGGTCGATTGAGGAGACCTGGTGCCAACGATGACTATCGATTTTGGGAGATGAAGAGACTATGCGAACCAACAAACTTTGGACATCGGGCAGTACCTGTGAAACGATTCGGAGAGGAAGCTGCTAAGGGGCGACCACTGACAACCAAATTCGGAGACTTTCTGTACAGACTGCGACGGAATGGCGAACGGACCCATGAACAGTTAATGAACTCTACAATTATTAACCAATATCTGATTTAGAGAGTGATGGGGAGACTGAAAGCTAGAAATAAAGGAGAACGGAAATTCTAGAGAGTAGAAAACTTGAATCTGCATGATCACCTAACTGATGCTCGGATAAAACCTCCACAAATCTGCAATCAGGTTGAGATACTCCTACCAATATACCACAATAAAGTAAAACAAATTAGACCACTGATTGAGTGGGAAAAAGCAAGAAGACTCAATCTAACCCAAACATAACGCAAACTGGCTTAAACCCCAACATCAAGAAACTAAGAAGTCAATTGAATACAATTATGGCTAAACCGAATGGCTAAATACAACTACACAAATATACAGCCTAAATCCAAACATCTAGAAGAAATCAAATAAAAGATAGTAGAAACTTACTCCCCAGGAAAAAAAAAAACCACTGGCAAAAGGTCTCCATCCTGCCTACGCATCTTATTGAAGAAACTCTTTGATGAAACTATGTCAACAAATTTCTAAAATTGAGCTAACTGGTGAAAAGAATATGAGAAACAACCTGCACAATCAAGTGGCATGGAGATTGTTCTGTTGATCATGGAAAGATGCTGACAAACGCATAACAATGGAGCGATCATTCACTCATTCCCAAGCAGACAATTAGATGTATGGATTACAGTAACTGCAAGACCATTCTCATTAAGAACAGTCAATCATGTTACATGTGAAGCTGTAATCTCCTCCAAAATTAGATTTTGCGTTTCACATATCAGAAACACTAAAGTAAAATACATAGAGAAGAAAAGGATAATCTAACATTAAGAAAATTTTGCAGCAGTCTTGATGTGGTCTGTCAGTTGGCAAATCCTAGTCATTTCGAATTGGAATTGGAAGTGAGAAAAATAAAAAAAAATAGGGAAGTACGTAGTTTTCGAATCCTATAGGCTACAGCTATGGGCAAATTGATAGACCTACCAGCAAGCAAATTGTGCAGCAATCATGAATTGAAACTGAAGAAACCCAAAGATGGTGAAACAATAATTTTCGTTGATACCAACAGCCATGGACAAATCAAAATGGCCCTAGAAGATTAGAAGTATCTCCCCCAGCAGCAACTATGAAGTTCTCAGACGAAGCGTAACTTCTGCAGCAATCATGACGTGGAACTGAAAAGAAACCATAAATTGTTGCAAGAGAATTAAAGAAGCATAGAAAATCATCCCTATGTAAAAAAAAGAATGGTCATTGACAACTTCGGACATTAGAAAAACTAAGAACCAAATAGAAGGAAGGAGTTACCTACCAATACGAAGCAATTATCCTTGGACAGAGACCAGAAACTGATTCACCTTGAAAGTGTGCAATGCAACCGGAAGTGGAGAGAATGTGAAAGAAACATACCAATCAAATAGGATTTTGTTGAAATATCCTCTCCCAACCATGCTGGTGTAGGTTCTCAATGGCCCTGCTACTGTTAGGGGGATCCAAGCTGTAGCATTCAGATTTCAGGATTTGTGGAAGTGCTTGAACAATTGATAACATTAGTGCTTGCAAGCTATACGGAACTGGGTCTGTTGGATTTGTGTCAAAATCGGTAGATCCTCCTCCATCTCGCCAGCGTCCCACCCTCACCGGACTCCGCCTCTGGAGTTTCGCTTCGTAGAGAGCAGGGGAATTTCCATGACCTCGTCCATCAAGTTCAGAACCTGGCTCAAGCTCGTCGTTCGCGAGAATGGATAAAAAACCATACTTGAGAGGAAATCTTAGCTAGCGGCCGCGTGGGAACGGATGGCTAGAGCGACGATCAACGTCCATCTGGGGTTCGTCGCTTTCTTCGGCGTAATCTCAGATGGCTTTGGTGTTGAAGAGACGGGAGGCAGACGGAGCGTCGGTTACCTATCCGCCATCAAAGTAGAGTAGTAGACCATTAAGACAGGTGTACCGTAATCCTATATGGGCAGAACCATCCCTATCTACGCTAGCATGACCCTCACATGAACTGGAATAAGAATAAATATGATGCAACATGAAAATCAAAGTATGTGGAAAACGATTCTCATGAATTGAACAACAACATAACTCAGTTCTGCTTTAATTGACGAATTGCAATAATATACCTGGAACCGATATGCATTGCCAGAACCCAGAAACCCAAGTCCATTGATGATAATGATCAAAGTTCAATTTTAATTGACGAATTGCAATCAATTACTTGGAATTGATATGACTGACCAAAACCCAGAAACTCCTATGCATCTTCAAATCCGGGTCGCGGGAAGATGAAATGGCGGATTGCCTGGTCCGGACGACCTCAACTCCTCTAACCCACAACCAATTTGAACCCTACAAACATTGTTAATTCCACTGCACTCCTTCATATTCGAGAGAATAGAAGCCGCACCGCTAGAACCCGGAAAATCTTGTCCATCTTGAAATCGCTGTTGCGAGAAGGTGAAATGGCGGATTCGAGGGTGAGAAGAAAAAAATGCAAACCGACCAAAGGAATTGATGACGAAGCGGGAGATGAAAGATGAAATCGCTAGCCGCCAAGTCTGCGTACCCGACCAAAGGAATCGACGGCGATGGGAGAGTTGGAATCGGCGTTGAGGAAGAAATTGAAGTGACATTTGGTAGGTGAAGAGGAACCCAGCAAAATCTTCGGGAAGGGATTCGGAGAGGATAGGGGAGAGTCGGGAAGTCACTGGCGAAGATGAATCAACCACTGAAAACTGATTCATAGAGGATATGGAAGTCGCCGACCACTGGTTGCTTACAAGTTGGGTGGAATAGGGATTCAGAGAGCGAGGAGAGGGCTAAGATAGCTTCTCATCGCGGGAGAGTCGGTGGTTGTCGATTAAGCATGGCTAAGTTGAAGATGGGGGAGAAGCGGCACCAGCGGAATGCGTCACTTGTATGATGTGAGGAAGAAGGGAATATGAGCGGTTGCGGGTCGGTGGTATGAGGTGAGGTCGTGAGGACGAAGGGACAATGAGCGGTTGCGATGGGCTTGACTACTGCTTTTTCCGAGTAATAAAATAAGGGGATCCAGAAACACAATGTAGTTTCCAAAATTGCCCCTAGCGAGAATGCAGGAGAAGCCAAGGATTTCAAAATGGAGAAAATCAGCCGGAGAATGGCTATATATTATAGGAGGATAACATTACAAACTACCCACAAGGCCACAACCTTAATTCCATTGTTTAATATGATCTATGTTTCTTTTTTAACGTACCGGGTCCGGTTAACATATGTTTCAGCTCTTTATTGCTACAGATTGGTCTAGTTTTCTTGGGGGCGGATAGTATAACAACACCATTAGTGTTGTTATAATAACATCATAATTCATTAAGGGTAAAAGAGTAAAGTTACACAAAAATAAATATAAATATAAAATTATTCCACCTCCCTCTTCCTCGCTTCTACCGCTTTCACATGGTCTGTGGTCTGACAATAGTCTCCACGCGATCTGACAACTGCGCTCCTCCTCCATTCTCTTCCTCTTCCTTCTTCGTCGTCACTCGCGATGGCGCACTGACCTGAAGTGAGCAGCGGACCTCGTCAGAGAAAGTTTTGAGATTGAAGTGAGTGACGCGGAGGAGAACCGAGTCGTCTCCCTCAATCTGAAATCGAGCCGCCATAGACGCCTTCTCGAGTAAAAGGACAAGCTGAAGGACTAGTACAATAGGCCGGAGAGGCAGCGATTGAGACTCCGACGGCGAGGGACTAAGAAACAGGGGAGAGAGATCAGATGGCAGAGGAGTTCTCGAGCGAATCCCCTAATTGACTAGAGACCAGGATTTTTCTGCATATATTTGGATTTATTCATTCCACAGGTTGCTTTGCTTGTTCTCTCTGGATCCGAAACTCCGCATTTGGCAAAAGAAAAAGAAACCAAAGGCGCAAAGGCAACTCCACCGGTCGCGCCTTTCCTATCCGTCTCTCCATCTCTTCCTAACACTCCAAATCCAGATAGAAGTCTCGCAATTGTAGAAGAAGAAAAAGAAGGAGAAGAAGAAGACGATAAGAGTCGTGTTGCTTGCCTTCCTTTTCTTCTCGCCCATGCTCTCTGCGTGAAAAAACAGAGCAAGGAAAAAGGCAGAGGCAGAGAGATTTCAATTTCGTTTGGTGGGTGTTTCGCTATTGTTGGAACGGTGGAACCTAGGCTAGGTGGTCCTTGGGGATGGAAACCCTCTCCGCACTGCGAGCAAGCGCAGATGGTGGTCCTTGGGGATGGAAGATGGAAACCTGATTAATATAATAATAATATTGATAAACGTATGCAATTAGTAATTACAAAGTGGAAAAATGTAAAGTAGTTAAAGATCAACATCACAGAGTAAGTAAGCAATTAAAAAAAATGGGTGTTGGGTGTTTGTAGACGCCAAAAATCCCCTAGTGCAAACCACAAACCCAATAAAACAATCCACAAAAAACATACCGGAAACCTCCTAATGCAAACCACAAATTTGCTAAAACATATCAGAAATCTCACTAAGCAAACCATAAATATTTTGAAAAGCACACCAGAAACCCTCTAATGCAAACCACAAACATGGTAAAGCAAACCAAAAACGTCCTAATGCAGACCATAAATATATTAAAAAAAACCAGAAACCTCGCAAAGCAAACCACAAAAGTTTCGAAAGCACACCAGAAACTTCTTAATGCAAACCAGAAACCTCCTAATGCATACCACAAATCTCCTAAAACAACCCACAAACCTCCCAAAGCAAACCACAACATTTGCGAAAGGACACAAGAAACCTCATAATGCAAACCACAAACACAGTAAATCAAATCACAAAAAAACAAACCTGAAACGTCCTAATGTATACCACAAATATATTAAAACAAACCAGAAACCCCTCAATGCAAACCACAAAATTTTGAAAGCAAACGAGAAACTTCTCAATGCAAACCACAAACACGATAAAACAAACAACAAAAAAACATACAAAAACATCATAAACCAAACCATAAATCTCACAATCCATACCATAAGCTCCGGTGATCGTTGACCATTGACCGATCACATTATAATTTATCCACATCACACTACAAATACTCTTCAAATAATCCCTTTTGTTATATAATTAAAAACGTGTGTTACTGGAAACCTGGCATAATTATGTACAAATGAATATATAGAACCAAACTACCAAAATGAATAATTATCTACAAATTGTTCCCTTCCATCTTTTGCCTATTATCTTTTGCCATTCTTCTCCGACTTCTCCCAGTCCCAACACGTGCAAACTATTAACCGACAGACAGAGGAGAAACGATGCTGGGCGCGGCCTGAGGATGGAATCGATTGTCAAATGGAGGGCGGCAAACGAAGTAGATGTGGCCGGATGGCGGGAGGCGCGTCGGTTTGTGCCATGCGAGTTTTGATCTCCATCGATAGATTAGTACCGAGATGGAATGGGGGATCCGTTCAACGCCACCGTCGTGTGAGCGAAGCATCGCATAGGGGTGCCGGAATTGGAATCAAAACTGGAAACGAACCGACGAAGGTCTATGGAGGAGCCACAATCGACGAGATGGTTGTCAATGGGGGGAGAAAGGTTCGTTGGGGTTCTAACTGCGGCGGCTGAGATATGGGCGAGAGAGAAGCGATGATAGATGGTGGAGGAATTGATGGCCGACGACGATGAGGAGGAAGAATCGGTGGTACAGGGGATCAGAGAGATGGGGAAGATAGGGGAGAGAGAAACGATTTATTCCCGAAGAATGATTTATTCTAAAATGGCAAATTTGCCCTTGTTTGATTTTTACACTATCTAAATTGAGTCAACCTATATTATTAAAAAGTCAGCAAAATCCGGCCTTCTTATTGGCTGGGTATTACTATTGTCACTATAACAACATATAAGGTGTTGTTACCGTATCTGGTCCCAGTTTTCTTACAAGTATGTGGTTAAATCCAACATTATCTTCTCGCCATCCTGAAGGTAGAATTTGGTTGGTTTTGTTCTTCCTCTTTCTTATGTTATTTTGGGGACCGGTTACTATGACAACACCCTTTGTGTTGTAATTGTAACAACACTAGTCTCCAACCAATAGGAAGCTAGGATTGTGATGACTTTTTATTAGATGAGTTGACCTAGTGTAAAATCAAAGCAGGGGTATAATTGGCATTTATGAAAAATCTGTTTAAATAATAAAAAAATAAAAAAAATAAAAAAATATTTTTTTATTTTTTATTTTCTGTCCAAAAATTTGGTCGCCGGAATTCTGCCACCAGTCGCCGGAAACTGGTCACCGGTCACCGGAATATGCTTTTTGTCGCCAGAATATGCTTACCGCTGTCGGAATATGCTTACCGGCGTCGGAATCTAGTCATCGGGGCCGGAATATGCCTATCGGCGTCGGAATCTGCTCACTGACTGTCACCGGAGTTCGGTCAACGAACTTCGTTGACCGGTCAACGGTCAATGATCACCGGATGTTATGGTTAGCATTGTGAGATTTATGGTTTGGTTTCTCATATTTTTTTATGCCTTTTGTGGTTTGCTTTATCGTGTTTGTGGTTTGCATTGAGAAGTTTCTGGTTTGCTTTCAAAAACTTTGTGGTTTGCATTGTGAGGTTTTTGGTTTGTTTTAATATATTTGTGGTTTGCATTAGGACATTTATGGTTTGCTTTTTTGTGGTTTGATTTACTGTGTTTGTGGTTTGCATTAGGAGGTTTCTGGTGTGCTTTCGCAAATGTTGTGGTTTGCTTTGTGAGGTTTGTTGTTTGTTTTAGGAGATTTGTGGTATGCATTAGGAGGTTTCTGGTTTGCATTAGGAGGTTTCTGGTGTGCTTTCGCAAATGTTGTGGTTTGCTTTGTGAGATTTGTGGTTTGTTTTAGGAGATTTGTAGTATGCATTAGGAGGTTTCTGGTTTGCTTTATTGCGTTTCTGGTTTGCATTAAGAAGTTTATGGTGTTCTTTCAAAAATTTTATGGTTTGATTTGTGAGATTTCTGGTTTGTTTAATGGATTTGTGGTCTGCACTAGGAGGTTTTTTGTTAGTTTTTTTTGGTGTTTTGCTTTACGGAGTTTGTGGTTTGCATTATGAGGTTTCTGGTGTGTTTTTTAGAATTTTGTGGTTTGGTTTGAGAGGTTTTTTGTTTGTTTTAGGAGACTTGTGGTTTGCATTAAGAGGTTACTGGTATGTTTTTTTGTGGTTGTTTTATCTTGTGTGGTATGGATTATGAGATTTCTGGTGTGCTTGTGAAATATTTGTGGATGAAGATGATGGTAATGGTGGTGAAGAGAAGTAGTAGCAGAAAGGGAAGTTGATGGTAATAGTGGTAATTGATTCCAGCTAGCTAGCTCGAGTATAGTGTCGGCAATGAGGGTGAATGGAACAACTAATCTTTTCACGTTCATCAAATTTGAATTTAAGGTGGATGGGAGATGAGATGCTACTGATAAGTAATTCAAGTTGGGAAATTAATTCAAGAATCGAAATTAAGGCCGGAAAACCAAAATGAAGGCCGGGAACTCCATCCCTAAACACCGGATATTCCTCCCCACCTTTCCCCTCCATTCATCTCCCCACTGGTAAAAAGTAAACAGCTCTCTCTCTCTCACAGCAAAGCAAGCACCAAAAACCCACACAAATTCCCCGCCCCAAGCTGCAGGCTGGAAAACGACTCTTTTTTTTCTTCTCTTTCTTTCTCCCTCCCTTTATTTCTGTTAGCAGCGAGGTGGAAATAACTCCAATGACTAGAAACGGGGAAAGAGAGGGAAAAGAAGAAGGAAGGGCGGGGCGGGGCTGGATCCAGGAATTCTACGTAGGAGTGTCATCTATAAAAAATTAAATTAAATTAAATATTAGAATTAAATAAAATAATTATTAAATATGAAAATATCTAACTAATAAAAGTTTCATTAAAAGTTCATACGTGTTTCATCAAATGATAAAATGCATTCGGTGTGTATATTGCTCAACAAATATCTCTCGACATATCTTACTAGACAAGGATATCCCGTAATTGAGTTTAATCGTTAGGTTTTGAAAATAATTTGATATAAGAATAACATTTTACTATTATATTTAAATCTAAAACACAATAACAAATGAGTTGTAGCGTAATTGAAAATATATTAACTAATAGTGGCAGTGTCCCAAATTTAAATCACATAAACTGCTACTTAAATATTATTTATACCAATACGCAAACTACTACGGGAGATTGGATAATCATTTTCCTAAATTTTAAAGGTGTCCCACACTACCACTTAAACATTTTTTTTCTCATACGCAAATTACTATCGTAGGTTGAATAATCGTGTTTCCAAATTTTAGGGGTGTCTCGGGACACCCCTAACCATGCATGTATCCGCCACTGCCTCCAGCTCGATCGATCTCCGTCCCGTGCTCTAGGTTCCGCCGTAACAGTTTATTCTTTTCCTACCGACACCGCTCTCGATTTCGATCCCGACCTTCAATGATTCTCTGTTTCCTACTCTGTCCGCATGATTGAAAGCGCCAGATCTAGATTTCTCGCGGCCGGGCATATGGGAGAGTCAGAGTTTGGGCGACGCCGTTGGACTGCATGTTCCCCTCGACGAACTCGTCAGCCGCCGCCGACGGTGGTGGTCGCGAAGCTCTGGTCGGAGAAAGAACGACGGAGTTGCAGATGACAAAGAGCAGGAATTTGGGGCCGGAGTAGGGGAGGAGATCGAGAGTGATCTGGAATTTGAGATATTATAATTTAATTTTAATTTTATTATATTTTAGGTAAGTTTACCCTTGTACCCTTAATGAATTCTGTTGTTAGTATAACAACAAATTTGTTGTTGTTATTCTATCCGGACCCTGTTATTTTGTTGTTGTTTTACTGTGCTCGCAAGTTCTTGATCGTTATTTTCTTTCTAACTTCATTTTTTGCTGTAGATTCTTTTGATTCTAACACCAATACTAACATGGGCTAGGCTCTGTGGAATGAGAAGTGAGAAGCAGATAACTTAAGAACTGGGAAACTAACTGGAAAGTTTGGTACCATGTTGGTGGTTAGAGGTTGGTGGCAGTTGCCGGAGACTCCAATACATTAGTCCGGTAAAATATGGGTCTAAAATGTTTATTTTATTCAACGCTTAAGAGTTCGACTTCTTATATGATTGGTGGATTCACACTAATTAAGTCTATGTCTTTGGCTCATCGAACCTTAAATGATTACTCGATTAAACATTTTACCGTCGATTACTAATTAGTGACACTTGGTTACCAATAACTAATTATTTATTGCCGATAACTGTCAGTTACCGTTTCGATTATTAATTACATCGTTAACAAGATGACAGCCGTACCAATTATTATTATATAATTATGCCGCAAGCAACCAAAATTTTGGTTACTGTTCCTTACGGAAAAATAGCACAACCGGGTTACTGTTCATTTAATAATTAAGCGATGTCCAAGGAACGCAGTTTCACTGCAGTCACGTCTATTATTAGTTTTAACTTTTAACAACCAATCTCATTTTTAAACTACCAATCCTCCATTCCCTAAGCCACGCTGGGTAGAAAAAGATACTCTGCCAAAATATCAATTTCATTTTTTCTTTTTCATTGATGAGAATTGAGGGTGATATAAGAAACTTTTCCTACAACTTTGTAGAAATTGTTTATTTCATGGTCATTATATTTATTCAAATACAGAAAACAGAAAAACATCAATGGTATGTACAAGTATGTAGTAACACTTTCGATTAATCTCACATCTACAAAGTACGGGCGAGATTCATAGGTCATAAGAAACAATCTGATTTCATTGTATTGATTGAGCAAAATGTATTATGAAAATTTATTGTAATGATTAAAACACTAAGCAAAAATTTTGGAGGGATAGTTATTTCATGATTAAGACACTATGTAAAGTTTATGAAGGGATAATCATTTCTTATATAGCGATTAGACAAACAAATTAAGTAAGTCTATGTAGTATAAGTTTGAACGAAAGTTTCTTTACTATTAACAAAACTGTTAATCTCATCAATGAAACGTACAAGTATGTAGTAACACTTTAGCTAAATCTCACATTTACAAAGTACGTTCAAGATTCATAGGTCATAAGAAACAATTTAATTTCAGTGTATTAATAGAGCAAAATGTATTACAGATTTTTTTTGTAATGATCAAGACAGTATCTAAAATTTATGGAGGGATATCTATTTCATGATTAAGATACTATGTAAAGTTTATGAGGGAATAATCATTTCTTATGTATCAATTAAACAAAAAATTAAATAAATCTAACGAAAGTTCCTTTAATATTAACAAACATATTGAGTAATTCTATCCTAATATAAGTTTGAGTGAAATTCCTTTACTATTCACTATATTGTTGACCATCTGATCAATTTGCTATACGCAAAGGTTCTGTAAGGTTTTTTTTATATTACTGTTTAATCAAATGTGATATTTTCATAACATATTTATTTTAATATTAGTTAAAAAAATAATTCATTAAACCTTGTGGAGGTATCTATACAAAATATTTTTTTGATTATTTTCTTTAACTAAATCATTAAATGATAATCAATTTTCTTTCACAACGAAGCGCAGGCCAAAAAACTAGTTATTATTAAGCCCAGACAAATGGAGAAAAACTTCGGTGGCCTCTCAATCATTACAAACCATCAAAAGGTGAGCACAACACCCGTAAATGGAGGACAATACAAATAGAAGAAACTATGCATGACAATCCAACTACAAGAAGAAACTATCTATAAACATCACCATCCCAATCTCAACGCTTCCAGACTTTTCACCAACTCTTGGTCACACATTGCTTTACAACGAACACAGTTGTTGAGTTTCAAGCTCAGTGAAATAGGGGACGAGCATAAGCAACGCCATACAATCTCGGTCAACAATCTCTCCAAGTAAGGCTAACAGCCAAACACCATACCTGTCTCACCGCCTTTGATTCAGCACATTGACGACACCAATAAAGTACACACCACTACGATTAGCGTTCACCATTTGATTTGATGGTTGAACCCACAAATCTATCTGCAATGGTCCCACATATTATGTTGTTCGTGGTTCCAATGGGTGTGAGTGTGAATTGTAAAATAGGTGACCTTCTAGTGATTGTCTGGGTGTGAATGAGATGTGGTTGACACAGCCTTTTAATCTCTGATCATAGAATCTCTAAATAATTGTTTTAACTGAACTAAAACCCTAAAAATCACAAAAAGTTTCCCCTAATTTCTTTAAAGATTTCTCAAATCTTTTGTCATCTTTTCTTCTCTATTTTGAATGAATATCTTCTTAAAGTTATGATTATTGAGGATAATTATAAAGTCTATATCATTATTTTATGAGATCGACTGTCACATTATATTGTCCACTAGTGCCTATCCTCTTTTGTCCACACATTCCTTAGCATTTTATGTAGCTCTTCTCCATTCAACCACATTTACCTCAACGAATAAAGGCTCTTATAAGAATAAGGAAAGTTATTACTTACTAGCTATGGTGCTTAGGATAGGAAGCAACAAGAAGATGAGCAAACATAAAAAAACATCCAGAAGATCTCATAACGAGAATCTTCACTTATTGATACATCTTGCCATTTGTTCTTCCCTTCCATTCAAGTCGCGCCATCATACAAAATTGGAATAA